TAAAATGAAATTTTTTTAAAAATTTGAAAAATTAAAAAATTAAATTTTTGTAAAATTTTCTCTTTGGTTAAAAAAAATAGTTCAATTTTATATTATTGTCTAGAACAATTTCATATTAGTTAATATTTTATAATTTTTATGAAAAATTTTTTCAAAATTTTTTATTTTTTAAAAATTTTTTATTTTTTAAAAATGTATCGAGTTTTTAACTAAAAATTTTATATTTTGTAAATGAAAATTTGTTCCTTTTTATAGTGTTGTCAGAAAAATTTTCTAATTATGATTATATTTTTAAATTTTTATGAAAAATTTCAAAATTTTTCGAAATATTTGAAATTTTTTAAATTTTTTTTTAAATTTCAAAATTTTTTTTCTTAATTTTTTTTTTGGAAAACTATCAACTTGAAATCACTTTAAATACCATTTTAATTTAATTTCAGAAATAAAAAAGAAAAATTTTGAATCAAAAATTTAAAAAAAAAAAATTTTTGTTTCAGTTTTTTTTTTTGTCCGTTTGACATAATTTTTGTCATAACTTGGATAATATTCAAACCATTTTAAAAATTTTGCTCTTAAAATTTTTTCAACAACTTAAAGTTTGTTATAATGAAGAAATCAACTAAAAATATTTTATAGATTTTAAGTAATCAAGGTTTAAAAACCAAATTTATTTCAAGTTAAATAATTTAAAATTTGAAATTTTCAAAAATTTTTTAAATTTTTTTTTTTTAGAAATGTATTGTTTTCTAATGAAGTATAACATTTTATAAAAGTTTTCTCTTTTAACTTTATTTTTCTCTAGATTTTAATAAATTTTTGTTATTTAATTTTATAATTAATTATACATTTTTTTCACCCTCAATATTTTCACACACAATTTTTCATTGAATTAATTTAAGATAAAACTTACAGTTTCATATTTCATTTAAGTTGCTTTTGTTTTACAACATCATCATCATCATCTTCTTCATAAATTATGCCAAACTTACGAAAACAATATATGAAAAAAAAAAGTTTCAATTTTGAAAAAATTTTCAAATTTTCACACGCTAAACAATGCGAAATTGTGTAGTAACTATAAAAACACTAACAAAAATATTAAACAAATAACAATTAACATGCTTATGAAGTACATACTACAATTACAATTCCCCTTAATTAAAAAATTTTAGTTGAAAATTTTTAATTTTATTAAAAAAAACTGTATATGAAGACTTGTAATGATAAATATGTATATGACAGCCATAGAGTCAGTTTGTGTGTGAGTTTTTATTGTGCAGGAACTAATAATTCCAAAATGCGTTCACACTATTCTATATGAACGTGTGGTGAAGTGAACATGCAATCGTCGAAGTGTAACGTCTGATTATTATGATGTAAAGATTTGAAGGGTCGTTTTGGGTTGTTTGGGTTTTGAATTCAATACGTTTATGTTGTACACGAAATGATTTTTAGTGGAAATTTTTGGAAAATTACCGGATATTAAAATTACAAAATTTTTAAGGTTTGAAGGGGGATGGATAATAGAAAGAGATAATAGATTTATTAAAATCTATAAAAAAAGACAACTGTTGCTTGAGAGAAGTTAAATCAATCCATAGAACTTTGATGATATGTTCCCATTTTTGAATTCACAAAATAAGTCTTTAACAAAGTCTTCTTGCTTTAAAAGTAGTTTTCTTGTAATATTCGTTTCACTATATCCCCCCTTTTCTCCTTCCCTATATAACTATCTTGTAAAGTATGTACTTCCCTTTTAATAACTTCATGCTATAAGATCTTTACAAAAATATCTTTAATTTATACTTTTTTTATAAAAAAAAATTGAGATTTTTTTCTTCATTTATGTAAATGCGTAAAAAAAGTACATGATGGTATGTAGGAACACGTACGTTTACACATTTATTGTTATTATTTTACTTTAAAGAATTGTGTAAAAAAAAAGAATTCTGCATTTAATAATAATGATGGAAGAATGAAATGAAAGAAATGAAAGAAAGAAACAAGATTTAAAGCATAAATCGAGGGTTAAAGTGGGAATTGTCTTTAAATAGTTTGAAAACTTAAGCAGAGAGCAATACAATGTTTTGAGCGAAACGAGAGTATCATGTCATCATACTGAGCTTTATTGTCATTTAAGTATAATAAAGCTTTTGCCGTACTTGATAATAAAGCTTTTGTCGCACTAGGTAAGCAGTACTGCTTACTTGTCAAGTAGTATGGCCTAATTTTTAATTTAAAAGCTCAAAGCATTATTTATATAGAAAACAGAGGTCAAAGCTTTGTTACTTCTTTACAGCTAAACTGCATAGAGACAATAAAGTTTAAAGCTTTTTTTGCACTTTATAAAGCAGAGAGTAAAGCTAAAGAGCAATGCATTATTTTGAGCGAAACGAGAGTATTATGTCATCATACTGAGCTTTATTGTCATTTAAGTATCAAATGCATTCAAAGCTTAGTATTTTAATAAAGCTTTTGTAGCACTAGGTAAGCAGTACTACTTACTTGTCAAGTAATATGGCCTAATTTTAATTTAAAAGCTCTTTTTTATATGTAGAAAACATTGTTCAAAGCTTTGTTACTTCTTTACACCTAAACTGCATAGAGACAATAAAGTTTAAAGTTTTTTTTTCACTTTATAAAGCAGAGAGAAAAGTTAAAGAGAAATGCAATGTTTTGAGCGAAACGAGAGTATCATGTCCACATACTGAGCTTTATTGTCATTTAAGTAACAAACGCTTTCAAAGCTTAGTATGTTAATAAAGCTTTTGTCGCACTAGGTAAGCAGTACTGCTTACTTGTCAAATAGTATGGCCTAATTTTTAATTTAAAAGCCCTTTTTCTATATAGAAAACAACATTGAAAGCTTTATTACTTCTTGACAGATAACTGCATAGTTTAAAGCTTTTTTCCCTCTGAGTATGCACTTTTCTTTATAATAATAACAAAATTCAGAGTTTTCGTTACTCTTTATAGAGACAACAAAGTTCTCTTTCTCCTTAATAAGTTATAAATGTTCAGAGCTTTTTGCCCCTTTAAAAGCAACAGTTTTCGAGCTTTCTTTGTTTAGCTTTCTTTTCTCTGCATTAAGACAACAAATTTAGCTTTTTCTCTTCATAAAGACAAAGTGGTTCAGAGCTTTTTGTCTCCCCTTTAAACGAAACATTTCTTGGGCTTTATTTTTTTAGTTTGTAGTTATTAAAGCTTTATTTTCTTTGCATTGAGTCACCAAAACTTAGACCTTTCTTTTCCCCTTTAGAAGAACAAACAAGTTTAGAGCTTTTTTCGAGCTTTATTTTCTTTGTTTGGGGTCATCAAAGATTAATTTTCCCTACACTGAGTCAACAAAGTTTTGTTGCTGCAATGAGACTACAAAGTTTTAAACTTTCTTTTCTCTTTCATAAAAGTTCTGAACTTTTTTCTTTAAAGGCAGCAGTTCTCAAACTTTCTATTCTTTGTTTAGATTTATCAAAGCTTTCTTTTCTCTATATTAAAACAACTAAGATTTAATCTTTCTTATCCCTTTATAAAAACAAATAAGTTCAGAGCTTTTTGTCTCTTTATTTAAAGGTCTACGAGCTTTATTTTCGTTGTTTAGAGTCTATAAAGCTTTATTTTTCTTTATTTTCTCTGCACTAAGGCAACAAAGTTTTAATTTTTCTTTTTAAAAGAAAAGTTCTGAACTTTTCCCCCCCATTTAAAGTTAACAGTTCTCGAGCTTTCTTTTGTTTGTTTGGATTTACCAAAGCTTTCTTTTGCCCTGCAATGAGACAACAAAACTTTGATTTAAAAGCAACAGTTTTTAAGCTTTCTTTGTTTTTAGCTATTAAAGCTTTCTTTTCCCTGCAATAAGGTAATAAGGCAACAAAGCTCAGAGCTTACTCTTCTCTGTATAGATACAACTATTCCTTGATCTTTCTTTTCGCTTCATAAAGACTATAAAGTTAAATTGAATTCTCTCTATAGAAACAGCAAAGGTTAGATCATTAGCTTTCTTATATAGTGACGACAAAGCTTAGAGTGTAACTATCTCGGTATGGAGACTATAAAGCTTAGAGTCGATAAAGTTTAGAGACAATACAACTATATTTTTACCTGCCACAAAGCTCTCAACAAGAGAGCCAAGAGTATAAGTTAGAGTTTAATCAAGAGCTTTTAACTTCTACATAATACTACAGACTTAATAAGCAATATAACTGTTAAGCTTACTTAATAACTTATCAGGTAATGGCTAACGCTTATTTGCTAACTATTTAGTAACTACTTTAAACAACTGATTTATAAAGAGAGTTTCAATGAAAGCTTAATAAACTTTTATTAGTTATAAACCACAAAATTTTGATTATAAAGGGATCTATGGCTGACTGCCTTCTTTCCCCTCTTGTTTTTGAAAAACCAAGTACTAAATACTTTAAATTATGGGTGTGTTTTACACAAAATTATTTAAAACATAATTTAAAGAACTTACACTGTTTAACTATATAAAACACACAAATTCCTCTACTCTTACCCATTACAGCCCCCTTTCTTTTGGTTGTTAAACACAATCAATATTTAAAGGCTTATAAAACAAAAAACAAGCCCCTATAGACATTTTTTTTATAAATAAACCCCTTTTTTTCTTCAAATCTTCCATATAGGCAAACAAAAAGCAAGATATGAACTTATATTTAGTTGAACAACAAAAAAAAAAATGAACTTTTTTGAAATTGTGTGTTCTGGCTGAATAAACCGGATACATCTTCTTAAACAGTTTTTTTTATAAAACATTTAAATATTGTATTGAACAGTTTTTTTCTTTGTGGGTTTCAACAAAATTTTTATCATAATCAATTGTTTTGAACAATAAGGTAGTTGATTTCTTTTGTTGTTGCCTTTTTATACAAAAAATGTTATATAAAAGAAATTCTTAGAAATTTTTCCATAAAAAAAAAACTAAAAAAATTTCTTTTAAACTTTTTATAAAGCTTTATTTTAATATTTCCCTCTTTTTTTTGTAGATGCTAAAACACGTACAAATCTCACCTTTACGCAATCGTTCAGATTCCGTTTCCATGCGTTCCAGTACCTCTTGTGCCTCTTCTATGTGTGGCAGCCCCGAGCCGCCCAGCGATTTACAAAGAACACCATCACGAGCCAGCAGTTATTCTAGTTTAAATGAACAATTGCCTCAGGTAAGTTTTTGGAAATGGTAACCGAGTTATTTTGGACAAAAAATAATAGAAATATTTCTTCTCTTGCAGACAACTATTAAAGTATTTACCAGCTGTTTGAAAATTGACATTGAATATAAGACCTTGGGCATACAGTGGGATACCACTAGCAAGGATGTTATTATGCAGTTATTGAGACGGTAAGTTGAGAGTAAAGGGAAAGAAAACTAGATCTAGGGCACGAACACTATACACCAGAACACCAGACTATAGACTATACTACAGTCCAGACTATAGATCATTCTATAGTCCAGACTATAGACTATACTATAGTCCAGACTATAGACTATACTATAGTCCAGACTATAGACTATAGTTCAGACTAAAGACTATCTATAGTCATGCCCATAGACTATACTATAGTCAGGACTATAGGCTATTCTTCTGTCCAGACTATAGACTATTCTATAGTCCAGACTATAGACTATTCTATAGTACAGACTATAGACTATTCTATAGTACAAACTATAGACTGTTCTATAGTACAGACTATAGACTATTCTATAGTCCAGACTATAGACTATTCTATAGTCCAGACTATAGACTATTCTATAGTCCAGACTATAGACTATCTATAGTCCAGACTATATACTATTCTAAAGTCCAAACTGTAGACTATTCTATAGTCCAGACTATGGACTATTCTATAGTCCAGACTATAGACTATTCTCTAGTCCAGACTATTCTATAGTCCAGGCTATAGAATATGCTATAGTCCAGACTATAGACTATTCTATAGTCCAGACTATAAACTATTCTATAGTCCAGACTATAGACTATTCTATAGTCCAGACTGTAGACTATTCTATAGTCCAGACTATAGTCTATTCTATAGTCCAGAATATAGACTATTCTATAGATCAGATTATAGACTATTCTACAGTCCAGCCTATAGACTATTCTATAGTTCATACTATAGACTACAGTCCATACTATAGACTATTCTATAGTCCAGACTATAGACTATTCTATAGTCCAGTCTATATACCATTCTATAGTTCAGACTTTAGACTTATTCAATAGTCCAGACTATAGACTATTCTATAGTCCAGACTATAGACTATTCTATAGTCCAGACTATAGACTATTCTATAGTCCAGACTATAGACTATTCTATAGTCCAGACTATAGACTTTTCTATAGTCCAGACTATAGACTATTCTATAGTCCAGACTATTCTATAGTCCAGACTATTCTATAGTCCAGACTATAGATTATTCTATAGTCCAGACTATAGATTATTCTATAGTCCAGACTATAGACTATTCTATAGTCCAGACTATAGACTATTCTATAGTCCAGACTATAGACTATTCTACAGTCCAGACTATATACAATTCTATAGTCCATCCTATAGACTATTCTATAGTCCACCCTATAGACTATTCTATAGTCCAGACTATAGTTTATTTTATAGTCCAGAATATAGATTAATCTATAGTCCAGACTATAGATTATTCTATAGTCCAGACTATAGATTATTCAATAGTTCAGACTATAGAAGATTCTATAGTTCAGACTATAGATTATTCTATAGTTCAGGCTATAATTGTTCTATTGTCCAAAATATAGACTATTCTATAGTTCAGACTAATAGGTTTTCTCAAATACATCTCTCTTAAGTTGTGAAAAACAAATTTAAACCGATTTTTTAACTCTTCCTACTTTTTCAGCTTAAAAATGCGCCATCGTGATCCCCGTTTATTTTACTTATCCATGGAGGTTTCTGTAAGACGAGCTGGTGTTAAAACGATTTTGGTTTTAGATGAAGATACCCGACCCGCCATATTGCAAGCTTGTCATCCTAAAGGCGAGTCTCGCTTCTGTTTACAACTCAAACCGGGTGGTCTTATACGAGTTCACACCTCAGCCTTGCAACCCTCTTCACAATATAAGTCGTTGGTAATTTCCGAAGAGACTACTTCAGATGAATTATTACAATTGTTGTTATCCTGTTACAATTCCATGGAACCTGTGGAACAGTTTTCCATATATGAGGTAGGTTTAATTTAAAATGATCTTGTATTTAATAGATATATTCTAATTATGTTCTGTTTTCATCCGATTACAGGTCTGTCCCGGTCAGGAGTATCAACGCAAATTACATCCCGATGATATACCCTTACGCGCCCAAGCTGAACGTGCCAAACGTGGAGAAACTTGCCATTTTTTGGTACGCCGTAATCCCAACTATGCTAGACGTCGCCAAATTTTAAATGCCCTCGATGAGGTGGTCAAAACCTATAATACTGCCTCTTCAACCTCCACATCTGCCCAACATAATAAATCTTTTGATACCGATAGCTCACTTTGCTCTCTGGATGATAGCTCTAGTTTATTAGATGTTTCCATGGATTCTTTATCGGATGATCTGCAAAGTTTAATGACTAGCGATGATGATGAATGTGCCTCCTCAACATCTGGTTCTTCAGATACTTCATCGGAAGGCTCGAATAGTATCAGAAGAACACCCTCTACCCTGACCATGGTTAAACAACCCTCAGAGGTTTGTTTGCATTGTCAAAATAACTACAAGTCATGTGATTTTTGTCATAAAAATCCCAATATGAACATGTTAATGCGAACACCTTCCTCCTTACATAATAATGCTAAAAGCAATAACTCTCTTTTCAATACCTCATCCTCGTCCACCTCCTCCTCCTCGAGTACCCTGCCTACCTATAGTCCGGTTTATAATATACGTGAAATCCGTACTGCCACCCACTCCTTTTCATTTCTCGGTAATGATAAGAAACTTTTGGATATCGAGTTAAATGGACGTTTTGACGCCACAGCTTGCCGTCTAAGACCCCAAAGTGTTTACATGGGTCGTACTTTGCCACGCATGATTATGGATGCTACCAGCACTTATGAGACCACCTCGGCCGATGAGCTACTTTCCCAAGATATTAATGGTAATCATAAAGTTAGTACGGCCTCGGAAAGTTCTACAGTAGCGGCGGAAGCTGTTAATAATAACCCTGCCAAGGGTTTGGGTCATTTTGTTTATATATAAGTTTGATAGGGGTGGGAGGGGCTTAGGCCTATTAGAGTCCAGTATTTTTTGTAAAATTTTTAAGTTCAAGTATTTTTTGTTGTTGATATATGTTTTAAAGAATAGACGCTTTATTATGGTAGAATATGGCCAAAATAAGATATATTCTAAAAATATCTGAAATTTCAAGGCTTCGAAATAATTTTTAAGAAAATTTGTTAATTTTTTAGAAAAATTGACGCGTGAGTTTTATTTATTATTTTAGAAAATGTATCGCTGACGTTTAATTCTTTGAAAATGTGACGCTTGCGATTAACTTTTATAGAAATTATGACGCGCGGTATTTTTTTTGGAAAATTTTGACGCTTGCGATTTATTTTCTTAGAAATATTGTCGCTTGTGACCAAATTTCATAGAAAATTTTTCATTGTCGTTTATCTTTTTTAAAAGATATTAAGATTGCGCTTAATTTTTATTAAAATTTTTTCACTCGTAATAAATTTTTTTCTTAATTTTGACGCTTGCGATTTATTTTTATGGAAAATTTGTCGCTAGCGTTTAATTTTTATGGAATATTATCATTTGCGTTTAATATCTATAGAAATTTTGTTATTGGTGTTTAATTTTTTTTTAGAAAATTTGTCGCGTGCGATTAATTTTTGGAGTATATGACGCTTTTAAACAATTTTGAAAAGAAATTTGTCGCTTGTGCTTAGAATTCTTAGAGAATTTGTCGCCTGTGATAAATTTTCATAGATAAGTTGTCGCTGGTGTTTAATTTTCATATAAATTTTGACGCTTGAATTAAATTTTTATAAGATGTTTGTCGCTAGTGATAAATTTTCATAGATAAGTTGTCGCTTGTGTTTAATTTTCATAGAAAATTGTCGCTTGTGTTTAATTTCCGTAGACAATTTGTCGCTTGTGTTTAATTTTCGTAGAAAATTTTTCGCTTGAATTAAATTTTTATAAGAAGTTTGTCGCTAGTGATAATTTATCAGAGAAACTTAGTCGCTTGTGATAAATTTTAACTGAAATTTATCGCATGTGAATAATTTTCATAGAAATTAAGACGCTTGTGATAACTGTTATAGAAAATTTGTCGCTTGTGATTAATTTTCATAGAAAATTTGTCGCTTGTGTTTAATTTTCATATAAAATTTGTCGCTTGAGAAAAATTTACATATCGCTCGTATTTAATTTTCATAAAAAATTTGTCGCTTGTAAACAATTTTCATAGGAAAATTGTCGCTCGTGCTTAATTTTCATAGAAAATTTGTCACTTGTGTTAAATTTTTATGAAAAATTTATGGAATGCATTTATCTTATTGAAAATTTATCGCTTGCATTTAATTTTTCAGGAAAATTAGTCGCTTGTTTTAAACTTTTATGGAAAATTTATCGCTTGCTTTGAATTTCTATTAACAATTTTTCGTTTATGATATAATTTTCATATAAACTTTATGTCTTGCGTTAAAATTTTATAGAAAAATTGTCGCTGGCGTTAAATTTTTATATAAAAGTGTCGCTTGCGTAAATTTATTTTAGAAAAGTTGTCGCTTACATTAAATTTTTTAGAAAAAGCTGTTAAGTTTTTATGAAAAAAATTTGTCGCTGTCGTTAATTTGTTATATAAAAGTGTCGCTTGCGTTAAACATTTATAGAAAATTAAATTAAATTTTCATAAAAAAGTTGTCGCTTAAGTTAAATTTGTATAAAAAATGTGTCGCCTGCTTTAAATTTTGTGAAAATTTGACGCTTGCACTTAATTTCTAGAAGTTTGCGTTTATTTTTTATAGAAAATTTGTCGCGAGCATTAAAATTTTATAAAAAAAAACTGTCGCTTGCGTAAATTTTTGAAACAATTTTGGTTTAAATTATGTGAAATCTTGTATTATTAAAAAAAAAACTTCAATAAAAGTCAAATGAATTTTAATTTAAGAGGCATGTTTTAATTTTATAATTTTTAAAAAACCAAATAATTTGTATAAAAATTAATTATAAATAAGTACCAAAATATGTAAAATATATTTTAAAAACAAGTGGCCTTTAAAATTGCAATTAATTTTTAAATTTTAAGTTTTTATTTTTAAACATTTAAAACTTGTGTATATATAATTTAATTAAATTTAAAAACTCTAAATTTTGTATATTTTTTTTTCTTTAATTGTTAAATTTTTTTTTAAATTTTCTATAACTCTTTAAATCACTTAGTAAGTAGTTTGAAATCCAAAACCAAAGAAAAACTTTAACACAAATTAGTTCATAGTTTGCCTTGTAATCAATATTTTTTCTGACAAAAAACTTTAAAATATAAATAAATATTATAATTTTCTTAAAAAAACAAAATTGTCTTAAAATTTATTTAATTTATGCTTTAAAAATATTTAATATAAAAATCCATTTATACATTTAAATAAACATTAACATAAAAATTTGTAATATCGTTTATATGAAACAAACATATAAAACCAGCATTTATTCCAAAAAATAGTTAATTGTAGCACTAAAAGTATGAAAAAAGCCACAAAAAAACACGCACATTGTAAAAATATTTCAAAAACATAAAATGCATATTTAACAAAACATTTAACTAAATAGACAGAAAAGCCAGACATACATGTGTATAAAGGATAATCACAGTTTTCTCTATATCCAACAATTAAAAAATTGAACATACTCTTGCTTAACCTAAACATACTCTTGACAAAATTAAACATACCCCTCTATGGTATGTTCAGTTTAGCTTTTAACTATATTTCTTTTCTTATTTCACAAAATTCCCCCAAAACAGTGCTTATCCTTATTTTATTACATTTATTTTTTATTATAATTCTTATGTCATTACCAAAAAATTACTCATTCAATTTAATGTTAATGTGAAATTTTGTTAAAGATTTTGTTTTCTTCATTCGCTTCAAGTATATTAAAATTAATTTGCCACAATATGTAATCTATAAAATTTATAGAAAAAATCATATAATATTAAATTTTTATGGTATATTTTTGTTGCATATGTGTGTCTGTGTTTCTTTATATTTTCATACGCCCATGATAAAAAAACAAATTATATTGATAATAAAAAAATAAAAATTTTAAAAAATTTGCAAAAAAAACTTAAAAGGTTTTTGATTGAAATGACGAAGGAAATGTTTTAAAATAAGTATTTAAGGACATATTGAGTTTACAAAATTTAATTCTGAACAGAAGTAGAACAGAACTAGAACGGAAATAGAACTAGAAGAGAACTAGAAGAGAACTAGAATAGAACTAGAACAGAACTAGAACAGAACTAGAACAGAACTAGAACAGAACTAGAACAGAACTAGAACAGAACTAGAACAGAACTAGAACAGAACTAGAACAGAACTAGAACAGAACTAGAACAGAACTAGAACAGAACTAGAACAGAACTCGAACAGAACTAGAACATAAATAGAACAGAACTAGAACAGAACCGAACTAGAACAGAACAGAATTGGAACAGAACTAGATCTGAACTAGAACAGAACTGAACTAGAACAGAACTAGAACAGAACTAGAACAGAACTAGAACAGAACTAGAACAGAACTAGAAAAGAACTAGAACAGAACTAGAGCAGAACTAGAACAGAACTAGAACAGAACTAGAACAGAACTAGAACAGAACTAGAACAGAACAAGAACAGAACTAGAACAGGACTAGAACAGAACTAGAACAGATCTAGAACAGAACTAGAACAGAACTAGAACAGAAGTAGAACAGAACTAGAACAGAACTAGAACAGAACTAGAACAGAACTAGAACAGAACTAGAACAGAACTAGAACAGAACTAGAACAGAACTAGAACAGAACTAGAACAGAACTAGAACAGAACTAGAACAGATGTAGAACAGAACTAGAACAGAACTAGAACAGAACTAGAACAGAACTAGAACAGAACTAGAACAGAACTAGAACTAGAACAGAACTAGAACTAGAACTAGAACAGAACTAGAACTAGAACAAGAACAGAACTAGAACAAGAACAGAACTAGAACTAGAACAGAACTAGAACAGAACAGAACAGAAATAGAACAGAACTAGAACAGAACTAAAACCGAACTAGAACAGAACTAGAACTAGAACAGAACTAGAACAGAACAGAACAGAAATAGAACAGAACTAGAACAGAACTAGAACAGAACTAGAACAGAATTAGAACACAACTAGAACAAAACTAGAAAAGAACTAGAACAGAACTAGAACAGCACTAGAACAGAACAAAACTAGAACAGAACGAGAACAGAACTAGAACAGAACTAGAACAGAACTAGAACAGAACTAGAACAGAAGTAGAACAGAACTAGAACTGCATTATAACAGAACAGAACTAGAACAGAACTAGAACAGAACTAGAAAAAGAACAGAACTAGAAAAAGAACAGAACTGGAACAGAACTAGAACAGAACCAGAACAGAACCAGAACAGAACCAGAACAGAACTAGAACAGAACTAAAACAGAACTAGAAAAGAACTAGAACAGAACTAGAACAGAACTAGAACAGAACTAGAACAGAACTAGAACAGAACTAGAACAGAACTAGAACAGAACTAGAACAGAACTAGAACAGAACTAGAACAGAACTAGAACAGAACTGGAACACAACTAGAACACAACTAGAACAGAACTAGAACAGAACTAGAACACAACTAGAACAGAACTAGAACACAACCAGAACAGAACTAGAACAGAACTAGAACACAACCAGAACAGAACTAGAAGACAACTAGAGCAGAACTAGAACACAAACCAGAACAGAACTAGAACACAAGTAGAACAGAACTAGAACAGAACTAGAACAGAACTAGAACAGAACTAGAACTAGAACTTGAACAGAACTAGAACAGAACTAGAACAGAACTAGAACCGAACTAGAACCGATCTAGAACAGAACTAGAACAGAACTAGAACAGAACTAGAACAGAACTAGAACAGAACTAGAACAGAACTAGAACAGAACTAGAACAGAACTAGAACAGAACTAGAACAGAACTAGAACAGAACTAGAACAGAACTAGAACAGAACTAGAACAGAACTAGAACAGAACTAGAACAGAACTAGAACAGAACTAGAACAGAACTAGAACAGAACTAGAACAGAACTATAACAGAACTAGAACAGAACTAGATCAGAACTAGAACAGAACTAGAACAGAACTAGAACAGAACTAGAACAGAACTAGAACAGAACTAGAACAGAACTAGAACAGAACTAGAACAGAACTAGAACAGAACTAGAACAGAACTAGAACAGAACTAGAATAGAACAGAACTAGAATAGAACAGAACTAGAATAGAACAGAACTAGAATAGAACAGAACTAGAATAGAACAGAACTAGAATAGAACAGAACTAGAACAGAACTAGAACAGAACAAGAACAGAACTAGAACAGGACTAGAACAGAACTAGAACAGAACTAGAACAGAACTAGAACAGAACTAGAACAGAACTAGAACAGAAGTAGAACAGAACTAGAACAGAACTAAAACAGAACTAGAACAGAACTAGAACAGAACTAGAACAGAACTAGAACAGAACAGAACTAGAACAGAACTAGAACTAGAACAGAACTAGAACAGAACTAGAACTAGAACAGAACTAGAACAGAACTAGAACAGAACTAGAACAGAACTAGAACAGAACTAGAACAGAACTAGAACAGAACTAGAACAGAACTAGAACTGAACTAGAACAGATGTAGAACAGAACTAGAACAGAACTAGAACAGAACTAGAACAGAACTAGAACAGAACTAGAACAGAACTAGAACAGAACTAGAACAGAACTAGAACAGAACTAGAACAGATGTAGAACAGAACTAGAACAGAACTAGAACAGAACTAGAACAGAACTAGAACAGAACTAGAACAGAACTAGAACTAGAACTAGAACAGAACTAGAACTAGAACAGAACTAGAACTAGAACAGAACTAGAAGAGAACAGAACAGAAATAGAACAGAACTAGAACAGAACTAAAACCGAACTAGAACAGAACTAGAACAGAACTAGAACAGAACTAGAACAGAACTAGAACAGAACTAGAACAGCACTAGAACAGAACTAAAACAGAACTAGAACAGAACTAGAACAAGTTAGAGTGCTATATTCCGAATCTTAAATACCCTCCACCAGCTGCTTTTATATTAATACTTTTCTAATTGATCAAATATTTGTAGAAATAAGTTTTCTTATGTCTTAAATAGATAAACTCCAAGATTTAAACAGCTTAAATCTGTTACAATTCCAAGATTTATTGAACATTACAAACCCCATTTTCTTGTATATTTTTATAGCGCCCTAAGATATGCTTTAACGATATTTAATAATGTGTATGTATGCATGTGTGTGAAAGATTTAGGGATTTGCAAAATACATATATATAATTTTGTTCTACACAAATTGATAATGCATTTAGGGACCGGACCTAGTATGGGAGATATGACCAATTATAGACCGATCGTGAAGGGACACTTGCATGGGACCGACCGCACCCATGTTATGAACCGATCGTGAAAAAATCTTGAAATAGAATT